ACCTTTAAAATGAAGACTCATATAATTCTTATGATTGTGAGAATAAACATCATTTATACATATGATCCAATTCAAGGTCTTGGTTACACCTTTAAAGCCCTACATGGCATGGGACCAGGTTACCTAAGGGACCGCCTCTCCCCTATGTCTTCAACCCGTCCCACCCGATCACACAAAGAAGGCATGCTTCGGCCCCCCTCAGAAAAAGAATTTCAATTAGCGGGGTCCAGAAATGAATAGACTGGATACGAAACATTTCTGAATGAAATTTCCAGTATCCACTAATGGAAGTTATTTTCTCTGTTTCCTATCTCTTCCTACAACTCCCACCATCTCTCAAAAATCTGCTATCTAGAATTAGGAGACCCACTAGAACAGAATTCAACTAAAGGAACAAAATTCTTTCCCAGCTCCCATGCTGGCAGCAGGCTATCGATCGAACCATAAAGCTAGAATGTAGAAGTAAAAATAAAAATCAGCTTAAATAGCATAAATTGATTCTGCCAGAAGTCATTCTAGTTCCATTGTCAAGAAAGACAACATTTAAAAAAAATCTACTTACTTCTGTGCTTCCTTCAACAATGCTTTAAATCCCAATCCAATTAGTTCCTGTACATTTTTTTAAAAAAACAAGCATGTTAGAAAAAAGGCCAACAATTAAAACTCCCAAATGATACCTCAAATACTTCACTGGACCCAAAGAACGATAAACGCAGGGATACTTATGCAAGGGGCCCTTCTGTTGCCCCAAATCAGCCATACTCTCCAGTCAGAAGTTGAGTATCTCTTGCAACTGACTCATGGAGCAGACTATGGGGAATTACTCCATGGCTTTCTATTCCGCCCATTTATTTCCCATTCAAACAACCATCATGTACTAGCCCAGGTCCTTACTACCATGTTTGGAATATTTAAAAAGGGGATGATTTTGCTAAAGTCGGGTTGCTCAGAACTTAACCACTCCCTAAAATTTTCAAGCCCTAATGCAATCTATTCACATAATCCAAAAATTATTGTTTCAACCATCTGACACTTGTGACTTCCTGCCGGCTTCGCCATGGACTCTGCTTGTCGCAAATGGTGATCATGTGACCGTGGGACACTGTGACCAACATAAATATGCGCTGGTTGCCAAACACCCAAGTCGTGATCACATGACCATGGGGACATTGTGATGGCCACAACTTTGAGGACCAGTCATATATCTCCTTTTCCAGTGCCATTGTAACTTCAAACAGTCGCTGAATGAGCACTCAGTAAGCAAGGACTATTTGTAATGAGGACAGGCTTTGTATCACTTCAGTGATGACTGGTTGTTGCTATGAAAGTGTTATAAGCCACTATGGAAAAGTTGCCCTAGATTCAAATCCACAGAAAACAGTGAGCTGTAGATACTTACATCTATATTCGGTTGTGCATCTGATTTTACCTTCTACCTTCTACCTTTTATTCTTGGTATGTATGGTTTCTTTAGTAATACAGAGCCAGGGAAATGGTGAGAAATAAAGAAAAAAAATAAGAGAAAGAGTTCTTGCTCCTCTTTTCATTTTCCCCTTGATGTTATTACTTAATACTTAAATCAAAATACTATAATTAAATATATTTTAAAAGGGTGTTGCAACAATAATGGAAAATAATTAAACACCTATTATGATGTGATGGTTAGTGTTGGACTGGGGAGACCCATTCAAGTCCATCTTTAACTATGACAGCTCACTGGATGACTTTGGGCCAGTCACTATCTCGCAGCCAATTTACTGCAGAGGGTGGTGGTGGGTAGAAGATATGGGGGACAGAATTTATGGCTATTGCTTTAGCTCTTAAAAAAAAAAAAGAGGGATAGAAATCTAGTAACTAAAATATGATTTTAAACTGAGCACAACATTGAGCATGCAATGACTAAGACTAATGAGTTAGCTTTAACCAAGTTCAGGGGACAACTCATTTTGTTGGTGATAAACATTAACTAAACTATTACAGTGAAGTTTGGTATTGTCAGAATCCTCACAATCAAATCAATTGCCTCACTAGTTTGCTTGCTTCATTTCTGCCATTACAGTGATGGGGAGGAAGGTGGGGGGAAGGTTGGGAGGTTAACTGTTAAGTACAGATGGACTGTTATCTGGTTCTCAAGAATGCCCAAGGTCATACCAGTGTGAGACCTGGAGAGAATCTTTGACATGCACAAGAGAAACTCAAAGACAGAAAGGGGGAGGTGAAATGGGAATGAGGTAAAACTAAATTTTGGTGCGCGTGGGACTCAGTTCTAGCTATCGCTTCAGAGCTGTACACTACTTTACAATAAATGAACTTTTCTTTGAACCTGCATTGGTTTCAGTGGGAGTTGCTTTCATTGGGAACTGAGTACCGCGGTTGTTACAGGTACACTGTAATAAATTAGCTCGTCAATGAAGAAAGTATATACCGTGGGTGGAAGGAATAAAAGAGACACCCATTACACATGCAGTAAGAACTTATATCACAGGAAGCTAACCTTCATACTTGAAACGCTAATTCCCAACAACGGGAGTTGCACGAAGCAGCTTTCTTCAAGACATACCCAAAGCCGGATGAAGGGCAAGAGCGGGCCAAAAGTCCTAAGCAGAGCTCCACGTGAAAGCCAACCCGACTGAGCGAGCCGGCATCCCTTCCAAATAAACGGGCCCAGGCTAACCTGCCACCTCCTCCGGACCAGCACTGCTCTTACCCCTTTAGTCCATCCACCGGGCGGGCACGGTAAGCGCTCTAACAAAGCAGGAGGAAGCCCATGCGTGAGCGGGAAAAGAAGCCTTCGGAGGTCGCGCTGAGCCGCGGCCGAGAGCCAGGGGACCACAGTACTTCGCTCGGGAAGCAGAAGGAAGCTTCTAGCGAAGGCCGGGACGCTCCCTCCCCGCGCGCACTTCGGCCCGCCGGAAGCCCCACCAACTCACCCGCCGCAAATCAAAGCCTCAGTTGCACAGCAGTGTGACCCGGAACTTCCGGCGCGCTGTCTACGTCACCGAGAAAGCGACGGCACCGCCTTTCCTTTTCCCCTCCCGGCCCCAGTTGAAGGCCCGGGTACCGCCGGGCAGGCGCGGAACGTCTTGGTGGCGCTGCAGTTGCAGCGAGGAGCTGGAAAGGCTAAGCGTCGCCGGTACGTACCTCCTACTCCTCCGTGGCAGGGTTCCCGTGGGAATCGGGAAGGCGGTGTAGATGCGCGTGTAAATATGGAGGGCGCTCTGCTTCTTCCAACTGCGCTTTCCCGACAGCGATCCTGTGCGCGCGTCATCGGCGGAGCGTCGAGCGGAGGCTGCTGAGAGTCGGGCTGTTTTGGTGGGAGGCAGCGGCGGAGGAGAGGAGAGGAGAGCGATGGTCCGCTTCGGCCTCAACTGAGGGGCGTCCGTAGGCCGCGGTTAGTGCCCCAGTTTTTGCATTCTTCTCTCGTGGCCTTAGCCTACTGGGAAATGAGTGGTCGGGTTCCTTTCGGCTAATTCCTGGGTCGACGAGTGTCTTCCAAGCTTGTCAAGGACCTTGCGTTGCCTCTGGTTGCTGTTTAACGGTTATCTATATTATTTTTGTTTTTATTATTGTTTAGCATAAATCAGTTCTCTTCTCTCAAAAGAACCAAGGGTGATCAAAGTCTGCAGTTGTGTGCATGTGTTCCTGGAGTTATTTTTCTTTTTCCCTTTATTCTTTGTAAATGTGTCCTCTTATAAATTTTAACTGTATATTTATTTATTGTTTTAATATGCTGTAAGCCACCCAGAGTCCCCCATTGGTGGGAGATGGGTGGGGACAAGTTAAATAAATAAATAAAAGCAGGAGGCAGCAGGGAGCAGGGGTTATGTCAGGTTGCTCCCGAAGTTTTCTTTGCATCCCCTTTCTTTTCCCTTCAAAATAATAGGTATGTGATTGTAACCTTTAAAAGCCTTAATTAAGCAGTCTTCAATCAGGATATGTACAGTCAGGTCCAGAAATATTGGGACATCGACACAATTCTAACATCTTTGGCTCT